TGCAAAAGCTGAACGTCCTCCTGTCCAAGTTGCTGGTGCTGCAGTCCGGCCCACTGGGTGAACGTGGTGCCGTCACAGCCGCACCAGCAACTTGGACAGGTCACGCCGCTTTTGCCTCCACGTTTGCACGTCCTTGGTCCACAAAAGATGTCCGCCTCTACCACCTCTTCTTCCGCCGTGTCCTCAGCCGCCACCCCCCCCGTGCCAAGTCCCATTACCCGACCGGCATATCACATGTGCAGGGCGCAACGGTGTCACGCTGTGCTGCACCTGGTATGCCTTGGCGAACGTAGTCACACAGGGGAGGAACTTCTCAGTGTAATGAACAGAGAAATCGACAGATGGCTGTCTCCGCGCAAACTGAAAATCGGAACCATGTTGACCGACAACGGAAAGAACATGGTGTCTGCTCTGCGTCAAGGAAGGTTGTGCCATGCGCCATGCATGGCTCACGTGTTCAATCTGGTTGTCAAGCGGTTCCTAAAATCCACCATCCCACTGCAAGACATCCTTAAAATGTCACGTAAACTTTGCATGCATTTCAGCCATTCCTACACCGCAAAGCACACCCTCCTTGAGCTGCAGCGGCAGAACGGAATTCCACAGCATCGCCTGATCTGCGACGTTGCAACAAGGTGGAATTCAACCCTACACATGTTAGACCGCCTTTACGAACAGCGAAAGGCCATCACCGATTTCCTGATGTTACAAGCGGATAAAGGTACTCCCCTGTGTAACTTCGATGTCAGCCATTGGCAGCTCATGCGTGACACCTGCCGCTTGCTCAGGCCCTTTGAGGAGGCCACGCTATTCGTGAGTCGGCAGGACTATGGGATGAACGACGTCATTCCTCTGTTGCACGTCCTGGAACAAATGCTGTTAACAATGGCTGGTCAGGGTGCGGTAGACGTGGCGCACAGATCTCAACGCCACATGACCCCTGTGGGGGCAGGACAGGAAGAAGAGGAGGAGGTAGAGGAGGACATTTGTGCTCAGGAATTATTGAGTGAAATGGGTGGTTTTTCCACTCAGCGGACAGGAGTGGAGGAGCAGGAGCATCTGGTAGAGGAGGAGGAGGAGGAGACAGAGGACCCAGACGCACCGTGGCAGTATGCTGTGGAGATGGAGGCAGGGAGTCCCTCGCATTCCTTGGCACAAATGGCCCATAGCATGCTCGGTTGCTTGCGTAGCGACAGCCGAATAATAACCATCAGACAGAGGGATGACTTTTGGCTGTCCACCTTGTTGGACCCTCGCTACCGTTCAAAAATGGTGGCCTTTTTCACACCTGCTGAGAGGGAGGCCAAAATAACGTACTATAAAAACCACCTATGTAGTCAGTTGGTCTCTGCCTTTGTGCGCCAACGTCCATCCTCAGACACTGTGGGCCCTGTGCGCTCGCGTTCCGCTGCCATGGCAGCAGGGGAGGGGTGGGGTGGTAGGAGCAGTGGCAGCTCCACCAGCAGCGGCTGCCTCAGTCTGCAGTCGATGATGAGTAGCTTTCTTCACCAGCGCAGTGAGGAAACTACTAACCAGCCGCAGCAGCAGCAGCAGCAAGCATCAGGTGGACCTGGAGCAGGACCTCAAACAACAGGCTTGGGCCTACTTGGACAGCACCCTGCCAACCGAGGTAGACAATCCCCTTGACTACTGGGCAACGAAACTTGACCTTTGGCCCCAACTAGCTGAATTTGCCCTTGAAAGGCTGTCATGCCCGGCCAGTAGCGTGGCATCGGAGCGCGTGTTTAGTGCGGCAGGAGGTATTGTAACTCCGCGGAGGACACGACTGTCCACCCAAAGTGTGGAGAGACTCACGTTTGTGTGAAAATGAATCAGGCGTGGATTAGTCTGGATTTCAAACCACCAGTTCCTGACACAACTGACTAAATCCGCCATGAATCATGCCCCAAACATGTGCCACTTTCAGGTCTCCTCACACTGCTGGTGTGTTCCATTTTTTGTCATAGGGTGCTGGCAGATTACGGGCCTCCCATAGCTGCTGCCAGGCCCCTAATCTGCCATGGGCCCCTATACCGCCTCCTCATGCTGCTGCCAGGTCCAGAGTCTCTCATGGGTCCCTGTACGGCCTCCCATTGCTGCTGTCTCCATCGCCACACTCTGCCATGTGCCACTTTCAGGTCTCCTCACACTGCTGGTGTGTTCCATTTTTTGTCATAGGGTGCTGGCAGATTACGGGCCTCCCATAGCTGCTGCCAGGCCCCTAATCTGCCATGGGCCCCTATACCGCCTCCTCATGCTGCTGCCAGGTCCAGAGTCTCTCATGGGTCCCTGTACGGCCTCCCCATTGCTGCTGTCTCCATCGCCACACTCTGCCATGTGCCACTTTCAGGTCTCCCTCACACTGCTGGTGTGTTCCATTTTTTGTCATAGGGTGCTGGCAGATTACGGGCCTCCCATAGCTGCTGCCAGGCCCCTAATCTGCCATGGGCCCCTATACCGCCTCCTCATGCTGCTGCCAGGTCCAGAGTCTCTCATGGGTCCCTGTACGGCCTCCCATTGCTGCTGTCTCCATCGCCACACTCTGCCATGTGCCACTTTCAGGTCTCCTCACACTGCTGGTGTGTTCCATTTTTTTGTCATAGGGTGCTGGCAGATTACGGGCCTCCCATAGCTGCTGCCAGGCCCCTAATCTGCCATGGGCCCCTATACCGCCTCCTCCGCCTCCTCATGCTGCTGCCCAGGTCCAGAGTCTCTCATGGGTCCCTGTACGGCCTCCCATTGCTGCTGTCTCCATCGCCACACTCTGCCATGTGCCACTTTCAGGTCTCCTCACACTGCTGGTGTGTTCCAATTTTTTGACATAGGGTGCTGGCAGATTACGGGCCTCCCATAGCTGCTGCCAGGCCCCTAATCTGCCATGGGCCCCTATACCGCCTCCTCCTCATGCTGCTGCCAGGTCCAGAGTCTCTCATGGGTCCCTGTACGGCCTCCCATTGCTGCTGTCTCCATCGCCACACTCTGCCATGTGCCACTTTCAGGTCTCCTCACACACTGCTGGTGTGTTCCAATTTTTTGACATAGGGTGCTGGCAGATTACGGGCCTCCCATAGCTGCTGCTGCCAGGCCCCTAATCTGCCATGGGCCCCTATACCGCCTCCTCATGCTGCTGCCAGGTCCAGAGTCTGTCATGGGTCCCATGTACGGCCTCCCATTGCTGCTGTCTCCATCGCCACACTCTGCCATGTGCCACTTTCAGGTCTCCTCACACTGCTGGTTTTTTTTTGTCATAGGGTGCTGGCAGATGGGCCTCCCATGGGCCCCTATATTACCGCCTCCTCATGCTGCTGCCAGGTCCAAGTCTCCATGGGTCCCTGTACGGCCTCCCATTGCTGCTGTCTCCATCGCCACACTCTGCCATGTGCCACTTTCAGGTCTCCTCACACTGCTGGTGTGTTCCATTTTTTTGTCATAGGGTGCTGGCAGATTACGGGCCTCCCATAGCTGCTGCCAGGCCCCTAATCTGCCATGGGCCCCTATACCGCCTCCTCATGCTGCTGCCAGGTCCAGAGTCTCTCATGGGTCCCTGTACGGCCTCCCATTGCTGCTGTCTCCATCGCCACACTCTGCCATGTGCCACTTTCAGGTCTCCTCCTCACACTGCTGGTGTGTTGAATTTTTTGACATAGGGTGCTGGCAGATTACGGGCCTCCCATAGCTGCTGCCAGGCCCCTAATCTGCCATGGGCCCCTATACCGCCTCCTCATGCTGCTGCCAGGTCCAGAGTCTCTCATGGGTCCCTACGGCCTCCCATTGCTGCTGTCTCCATCGCCACACTCTGCCATGTGCCACTTTCAGGTCTCACACTGCTGGTGTGTTCAATTTTTTGACATAGGGTGCTGGCAGATTACGGGCCTCCCATAGCTGCTGCCAGGCCCCTAATCTGCCATGGGCCCCTATACCGCCTCCTCATGCTGCTGCCAGTCCAGAGTCTCTCATGGGTCCCTGTACGGCCTCCCATTGCTGCTGTCTCCATCGCCACACTCTGCCATGTGCCACTTTCAGGTCTCCTCACACTGCTGGTGTGTTCCATTTTTTGTCATAGGGTGCTGGCAGATTACGGGCCTCCCATAGCTGCTGCCAGGCCCCTAATCTGCCATGGGCCCCTGTACCGCCTCTCCTCATGCTGCTGCCAGGTCCAGAGTCTCTCATGGGTCCCTGTACGGCCTCCCATTGCTGCTGTCTCCATCGCCACACACTCTGCCATGTGCCACTTTCAGGTCTCCTCACACTGCTGCTGGTGTGTTCCATTTTTTGACATAGGGTGCTGGCAGATTACGGGCCTCCCATAGCTGCTGCTGCCAGGCCCCTAATCTGCCATGGGCCCCTATACCGCCTCCTCATGCTGCTGCCAAGTCCAGAGTCTGTCATGGGTCCCTGTACGGCCTCCCATTGCTGCTGTCTCCATCGCCACACTCTGCCATGTGCCACTTTCAGGTCTCCTCACACTGCTGGTGTGTTTCCATTTTTTGTCATAGGGTGCTGGCAGATTACGGGCCTCCCATAGCTGCTGCCAGGCCCCTAATCTGCCATGGGCCCCTATACCGCCTCCTCATGCTGCTGCCAAGTCCAGAGTCTGTCATGGGTCCCTGTACGGCCTCCCATTGCTGCTGTCTCCATCGCCACACTCTGCCATGTGCCACTTTCAGGTCTCCTCACACTGCTGGTGTGTTTCCATTTTTTGTCATAGGGTGCTGGCAGATTACGGGCCTCCCATAGCTGCTGCCAGGCCCCTAATCTGCCATGGGCCCCTATACCGCCTCCTCATGCTGCTGCTCCAGAGTCTGCTGCAGTGTTCCAGGTTCAGTCTGTAGACTCATGGGTCCCTGTACGGCCTCCCATTGCTGCTGTCTCCATCGCCACACTCTCTGCCATGTGCCACTTTCAGGTCTCCTCACACTGCTGGTGTGTGTTCCATTTTTTGTCATAGGGTGCTGGCAGATTACGGGCCTCCCATAGCTGCTGCCAGGCCCCTAATCTGCCATGGGCCCCTATATACCGCCTCCTCATGCTGCTGCCAGCAAGTCCAGAGTCTGTCATGGGTCCCTGTACGGCCTCCCATTGCTGCTGTCTCCATCGCCACACTCTCTGCCATGTGCCACTTTCAGGTCTCCTCACACACTGCTGGTGTGTTCAATTTTTTGTCATAGGGTGCTGGCAGATTACGGGCCTCCCATAGCTGCTGCCAGGCCCCTAATCTGCCATGGGCCCCTATACCGCCTCCTCATGCTGCTGCCAAGTCCAGAGTCTGTCATGGGTCCCTGTACGGCCTCCCATTGCTGCTGTCTCCATCGCCACACTCTGCCATGTGCCACTTTCAGGTCTCCTCACACTGCTGGTGTGTTTCCATTTTTTGTCATAGGGTGCTGGCAGATTACGGGCCTCCCATAGCTGCTGCCAGGCCCCTAATCTGCCATGGGCCCCTATACCGCCTCCTCATGCTGCTGCCAAGTCCAGAGTCTCTCATGGGTCCCTGTACGGCCTCCCATTGCTGCTGTCTCCATCGCCACACTCTGCCATGTGCCACTTTCAGGTCTCCTCACACTGCTGGTGTGTTCCATTTTTTGTCATAGGGTGCTGGCAGATTACGGGCCTCCCATAGCTGCTGCCAGGCCCCTAATCTGCCATGGGCCCCTATACCGCCTCCTCATGCTGCTGCCAAGTCCAGAGTCTCATGGGTCCCTGTACGCCTCCCATTGCTGCTGTCTCCATCGCCACACTGCTGCCATGTGCCACTTTCAGGTCTCCTCACACTGCTGGTGTGTTTTCCATTTTTTGTCATAGGGTGCTGGCAGATTACGGGCCTCCCATAGCTGCTGCCAGGCCCCTAATCTGCCATGGGCCCCTATACCGCCTCCTCATGCTGCTGCCAAGTCCAGAGTCTCTCATGGGGTCCCTGTACGGCCTCCCATTGCTGCTGTCTCCATCGCCACACTCTGCCATGTGCCACTTTCAGGTCTCCTCACACTGCTGGTGTGTTTCCATTTTTTTTGTCATAGGGTGCTGGCAGATTACGGGCCTCCCATTGCTGCTGCCAGGCCCCTAATCTGCCATGGGCCCCTATACCCGCCTCCTCATGCTGCTGCCAGGTCCCAGAGTCTCTCATGGGTCCCTGTACGGCCTCCCATGCTGCTGTCCCAGGCCCAATCTGCCATGTGCCACTTTCAGGTCCTCCTCCTCACTGCTGGTGTGTTCCATTTTTTGTCATAGGGTGCTGGCAGATTACGGGCCTCCCTAGTAGCTGCCAGGCCCCTAATCTGCCATGGGCCCCTATACCCGCCTCCTCATGCTGCTGCCAGGTCCAGAGTCTCCATCCGGCCTCCCATTGCTGCTGTCTCGCCACACTCTGCCATGTGCCACTTTCAGGTCTCCTCACACACTGCTGGTGTGTTTCCATTTTTTGTCATAGGGTGCTGGCAGATTACGGGCCTCCCATAGCTGCTGCCAGGCCCCTAATCTGCCATGGGCCCCTATAATACCGCCTCCTCATGCCTGCTGCCCATCCAGAGCTGCCCTGTACGGCCTCCCATTGCTGCTGTCTCCATCGCCACTCTGCCATGTGCCACTTTCAGGTCCTCCTCACACTGCTGGTGTGTTCCAATTTTTTGACATAGGGTGCTGGCAGATTACGGGCCTCCCATATAGCTGCTGCCAGGCCCCTAATCTGCCATGGGCCCCTATACCGCCTCCTCATGCTGCTGCCAAGTCCAGAGTCTCTCATGGGTCCCTGTACGGCCTCCCATTGCTGCTGTCTCCATCGCCACACTCTGCCATGTGCCACTTTCAGGTCTCCTCACACACTGCTGGTGTGTTCCATTTTTTGTCATAGGGTGCTGGCAGATTACGGGCCTCCCATAGCTGCTGCCAGGCCCCTAATCTGCCATGGGCCCCTATACCGCCTCCTCATGCTGCTGCCAGTCCAGAGTCTCATGAGTCCCTGTCATGGGTCCCTGTAACGGCCTCCCATTGCTGCTGGTCTCTCCCTCACACTTTTTTGTCATAGGGTGCTGGCAGATTACGGGCTGCCCATAGCTGTCTCCATCTGCCACACTCTCCACAGAGTGTCTGCCATGTGCCACTTTCAGGTCTCCTCACACTGCTGGTGTGTTCCATTTTTTGACATAGGGTGCTGGCAGATTACGGGCCTCCCATAGCTGCTGCCAGGCCCCTAATCTGCCATGGGCCCCTATACCGCCTCCTCATGCTGCTGCCAAGTCCAGAGTCTGTCATGGGTCCCTGTACGGCCTCCCATTGCTGCTGTCTCCATCGCCACACTCTGCCATGTGCCACTTTCAGGTCTCCTCACACACTGCTGGTGTGTTTCCGGGCCTCCCATAGCTGCATGCTGCCAGGCCCCTAATTGTCATAGGGTGCTGGCAGATTACGGGCCTCCCATAGCTGCTGCCAGGCCCCTAATCTGCCATGGGCCCCTATACCCATGGGCCCCTATACCACCTCCTCATGCTGCTGCCAAGTCCAGAGTCCTGTCATGGGTCCCTGTAACGGCCTCCCATTGCTGCTGTCTCCATCGCCACACTCTGCCATGTGCCACTTTCAGGTCTCCTCACACTGCTGGTGTGTTCCATTTTTTTGTCATAGGGTGCTGGCAGATTACGGGCCTCCCATAGCTGCTGCCAGGCCCCTAATCTGCCATGGGCCCCTATACCCGCCTCCTCATGCTGCTGCCAGGTCCAGAGTCTCTCATGGGTCCCTGTACGGCCTCCCATTGCTGCTGTCTCCATCGCCACACTCTGCCATGTGCCACTTTCAGGTCTCCTCACACACTGCTTGTGTGTTCCATTTTTTGTCATAGGGTGCTGGCAGATTACGGGCCTCCCTATAGCTGCTGCCAGGCCCCCTAATCTGCCATGGGCCCCTATACCGCCTCCTCATGCTGCTGCCAGGTCCAGAGTCTCTCAATGGGTCCCTGTACGGCCTCCCATTGCTGCTGTCTCCATCGCCACACTCTGCCATGTGCCACTTTCAGGTCTCCTCACACACTGCTGGTGTGTTCCAATTTTTTTGACATAGGGTGCTGGCAGATTACGGGCCTCCCATAGCTGCTGCCAGGCCCCTAATCTGCCATGGGCCCCTATAACCGCCTCCTCATGCTGCTGCCAGGTCCAGAGTCTGTCATGGGTCCCTGTACGGCCTCCCATTGCTGCTGTCTCCATCGCCACACTCTGCCATGTGCCACTTTCAGGTCTCCTCACACTGCTGGTGTGTTCCATTTTTTTTCATAGGGTGCTGGCAGATTACGGGCCTCCCATAGCTGCTGCCAGGCCCCTAATCTGCCATGGGCCCCTATACCGCCTCCTCATGCTGCTGCCAAGTCCAAGTCTCTCATGGGTCCCTGTACGGCCTCCCATTGCTGCTGTCTCCATCGCCACACTCTGCCATGTGCCACTTTCAGGTCTCCTCACACACTGCTGGTGTGTTCCATTTTTTGACATAGGGTGCTGGCAGATTACGGGCCTCCCATAGCTGCTGCCAGGCCCCTAATCTGCCATGGGCCCCTATACCGCCTCCTCATGCTGCTGCCAAGTCCAGAGTCTCTCATGGGGATCCCTGTACGGCCTCCCATTGCTGCTGTCTCCATCGCCACACTCTGCCATGTGCCACTTTCAGGTCTCCTCACACTGCTGGTGTGTTCCATTTTTTGACATAGGGTGCTGGCAGATTACGGGGCCTCCCATAGCTGCTGCCAGGCCCCTAATCTGCCAATGGGCCCCTATATACCGCCTCCTCATGCTGCTGCCCAGGTCCCCAGAGTCTCTCATGGGTCCCCTGTACGGCCTCCCATTGCTGCTGTCTCCATCGCCCACACTCTGCCATGTGCCACTTTCAGGTCTCCTCACACTGCTGGTGTGTTCCATTTTTTTGTCATAGGGTGCTGGCAGATTACGGGCCTCCCATAGCTTCTGCCAGGCCCCTAATCTGCCATGGCCCCCGTTACCGACTCCTCATGCTGCTGCCAGGCCTGTAATCTGTCCATGGGCCCCTGTACCGCCTCCTCATGCTGCAGCCAGGTCCAGAGTGTGTCATGGGTCCCTGTACGGCCTCCCATTGCTGCTGTCTCCATCGCCACACTCTGCCATGTGCCACTTTCAGGTCTCCTCACACTGCTGTTGTGTTTTATACCATTTTTGTCATAGGGTGCTGTATGGCCTCCCATTGCTGCTGCCTCCACCGCCACACTGTGGCTCCACACTCTGGTTTTGCCCCGTGACTGCCCAAATGAGTGAAGTGTGCGGTGATATCTAAGATCGAAACGGCACTCATCTGCATGTCATACTGACCTGACAGTATTTATTTCTCTTCCCCAGCAGACTCCAAGGGCATTTAAATTAAAGGTACAGTGTTCTGCACTAATATAAAGGCTCTCTGAAGCCTAAGAAACACCCTTTTATAAGTTAAATTCGCAGCAAATATATTCGACTCGAATCGAAATTTTTCCACGAATTCGCCGAATCAGTCGAATCGAATTTTTGAATACTTCTCTCATCTCTAATTGTCCACCCAACAGGGTTGGGTAACCAGGCAAACATAAAAATGGATTAACAATGGTTATAAACAAAAATTTTAGCATACAAAGTGACTACTGGTAAAAACTAAGAAAAACATTTTGACAAATGACACAAGACATTTGGGGGTTTATTTACTAAAGCTGGAGAGTCCAAAATCAGACTCCCTTCTGCATAGAAACCAATCAGCGTCCAGGTTTTCATTGCCAAAGCTTCATTGAACAAGCTGAGGTTAGAGAAGCTGATTGGTTTCTATGCAGAAGGGAGTCTGATTTTGGACTCTCCAGCTTTAGTAAATAAACCCCTTGGTGTCCAGATCAGCATAAACAGTAGCAAGATCACCTCAAGTGCAGCAGTGAGCAGTAGTAAGTAGTTAAATCTACTGCTGGAGCTATACTGCCAGAGAGCATTTAATAGCAGTGATGCCTAGAACGGGCAGGAATTTGCACTGTCCACAAGAAACGAAGGATGGTGGTGGTTGGGGCGAGGTCAAGAGAAACAAAGGGGACTTGCAGAATAGTTTATTATATGGTGGGAAAGTTTCTTTGAGATGTTATGGTTGGAGCCCTTTAAGAGCATTTGTGCACCTAACGACAGTCTCAGTTTAACTTGCATACAGTATAAGTACAGTATAGTCTAGGTACACAGGTGCAAGATCTAGTGAGCATTTAGCGTTAGTGAATGCAGTTCCATTGCTGTATTCACTAATGAATGGTGTAAACCTGTCATCCTGAAACTTCCAAACAGTAAATCACAGTGCAGTTTTATTTGGTATCTGCTCACCTGAGTCCATTTAGGTTAAAATCCTTAACCCATGATGAAGGGTTTGGCGTTGGCTCATTTCTGCTATGAAATCAATATTATTATTAAATTGCCTTGGACACTCTGGGACAATTTGTTTGCTGCTCTCATTGGATTGTATGCGTGTGGATTCTCAACTCTGGGTCATTTCCCTATTTCTTGAGAGTGGTCCCTATTTTGTGGAATGCTGCCAAACCAAAGCCAGTGTGTCCAGTGACAATTTCAGTGAACCCTTACAAAATCCGAATGCAGTGCCCCATTTCATGTTGTGTTAAGTAATGAGAATCTGACAGGGGTCCTAACTGTACTCTTACCTACTGTAAGCATTTGACTTCTGTCTGTTTGTCAGACCCATCATAAAGTCTGAAAATTGTGAACCCAAATTTGAGCCCTCTTCACAGAGTACATTACAATTGCTCTGCCACATAGAACAGTGTCAGGGATCGCGGCTCCGAGTCCTGAATCGCGGCGCCGTCCCCCCGCGCATGCGCATTGGCGGCAGATCACTACTCCGGGACACAGGCACTAGGTCCCGGTGAGCCGCGGCTGACAGGACGCTGCGCATGCGCAGTAGTAGCCGCAGGGTATGCGCCTCACCTTTTACAGGTGTCCAATGACAGCCGGGGCGCGTCCTAGCTGGCCAATGACAGTGCAGGGCGCACTATTTAAAGATGCCCTGCACTGTCACAGAATTGCCGCAAAGGTCATTCTGTGATTCTGAGTACCTGCACCCGTCTAGTGACCCTGATTGCCCGACTACGCTGCCTGCCACTGTGATTGGACCCGGATTGTCCTGACTATTCTGCCTGCTCCTGTGTTTGACCCGGATTGCCCTGACCATTCTACGGACTGACTTAACCCTGCTGATCCTGCGTGTGACCCGACTACTCTTTGCCCACCGATTCTGTACCCCGCTTACCCACACGGGCCCACGATCCGTTACTACCCTGCTGGGGGCCGCCATTCCCTTCACATCTGGCTCTCCCGGTACCTGTCCCCCGGAGGTCTCCTCAGCCACTGGTGGGCCTGCTCGGAGGTCGTGACCTGGCCCGGGACTGTTTCAAAGTCCATCCCCACCATCAGGGCCCTGGTGAAAGCACAGCCCGGGCTTAGACCCCACGCTCTGAGTAGGTCTGTCAGTTGGCAGCCTGAGGCACCACCTGGCGGATCATAACAGTACCTTGCGGCCAATGACAGAGCCAGGAAGTGGACCGGCGTCCCTAGAGGATATTTGCCAGCACCTGGCAACTTTGACCCAGGCTTTTCAGAATTTCCACAGTCGCTGCGCCCGACTGAACCCCCACACCCACGACCCCTCCGACCGCATGGAGTCATTAGCTCCCCTGACTCCCCCCTGTGCTCAGAGTCCTCCATCTGCAGAACCTCCGCGCTAAAACATCCCGTATCCGGAGCGTTTGCCACACCCCCTAGCTCCTGAAACCCCGCGTTCCTCTGCCGGAACGATTCCGTGGTGACCGTAGCCGCTTCCGAGCCTTCCGGAACGCTGCACCCTGTACTTCGACTTACAGCCCCCGCACGTTCACACACCCAGACCGTCAAGGTGGGGTTTATAGTTTTTTTTTTTTTTTCCCTCCTTCAGGACGAGCCCCAGGATTGGGCTCACGGTCTGATGGAGAAGCACGACCCCCATCTTGACTCCGTGACCCCGAGTTCTTTCAGGCCATGGCCGTTTTTGGTAATGACGACCCTCAGCGGGCTGCTTCCGCAGAGGCTACCCTATACTCTCTGCGGCAGGGCCGCCGGACAGCCGAAGAATACGCGTCCGATTTTAGGCGTTGCATGGGAGACACCAGATGGAACGATGCGTCCTTAATGTCACCAGTTTCCGCATCATCGGGCTGTCTGAGTCTCTCAAAGACGAGCTAGCACGAGTAGGCCTACCTGACTCCCTGGAAAAACTGATTGAGTTGGCCATTCAAATTGACCGTAGACTAAGGGAACGTCGGCTGGAAAGGAGCAGCCAGGGTCAAAGGGTGGCATGGATTTCATCGAGAGACACAGCTCCAGCCCCAGGAACCATCCGCGAAGCACGGAAACAGGGGAACAACTCGGAAACCCATGCAACTGGGACTGGCCCGTTCCCACTTATATCGGTCGAGGAACGTCAGAGGAGACGATCACAGAAACCTATGTCTGTACTGCGGGGAAGCTGGTCACCAGGTGCGCTCCTGTCCTGCAAAAATGAGTAAGTCCACTCCCGTTTCTTTTACTTTACCTGCAGGAAGGGATGATCAGTCAAGTTACCTGGCCATTCCTGTGTCTTTACAGCTCCCCGGAGGAACATTGTCGGTGACCGCAATCGTTGACTCAGGAGCCTGTAGTTGTTTTTATCGATCTGACTTTTGCCCACCGGCAAAAAATCCCTCTCCAGACCAAAGAAAGGGGTTCAACATCTTCTTGGCAGATGGGTCCAGTATAAAATCAGGGGGTGGTGGACCAGGAGACACCACCCATTTTCACCACAATGGCAGACCATCACCAGGAGTTCCTCCGTTTGGATGCCATCACATCCCCCTTTTTCCAGTCATTCTGGGCTTCCCTTGGCTGAGGGCCCATAACCCCCAGATTGACTGGGAAAAGGGAACAATTCAATTTCGGTCACCTTATTGTTTGAGTCACTGCCACGTCACAGGATCCGTGGTTCCCCGGTTCCTCCTGTGCCTGGATGGAGACACCAATCTATCCCAGGTTATTCCTCCGGCCTACCATGACTTCTTAGACGTTTTCAGTAAGCGGGGTGCTGACATTCTTTCCTCCGCACCGTTCCTACGATTGCCCCATAGACCTCCTACCCCCGGATCTGAAATCTCATTCGGCCGTATCTTTCCCTTGTCTGAAACGGAATCGGGTGTGCTGAGGGAATATATTGACGAAAACCTTCGGAAGGGATTTATTCGTCCATCCACATCCCCAGCCGGGGCCGGGTTGTTCTTCGTAGAGAAGAAGGACAAATCGTTACGGCCCTGCATAGACTACCGTGATCTGAACAAAATAACGGTAAAGAATCGTTATCCCTTACCCCTAGTCCCCGAGCTCCTCAGAGACTGAGATCGGCAACGACATTTACTAAATTAGACCTGCGGGGGGGCCTATAACCTTGTTCGTATCAGGGAGGGGGATGAGTGGAAGACGGCGTTCCGTACGAGATTCGGTCACTACAAATATTTGTGATGCCGTTTGGGCTCTGTAATGCACCGGCGACCTTTCAGCACTTTATCAACAATGTTTTTTTTTCGTGATTTTCTCGATATTTTCGTGGTGTGGTTTATTTGGATGACATCCTAATTTTTTTCCCCCTCACTGGAGGTTCATCGTGGTCACGTGTCACGGGTATTAGAACGGTTGCGTCAACACGGGCTATACGCTAAGGCAGAAAAGTGCTGTTTTTGAACAGCGCGAAATCACGTTCTTGGGACTGGTTCTCTCTTCCGCGGGGTCGCGATGGATCCCCAGAAAGTCACGGCAATCTTAGATTGGCCAATACCCGCCGACAAAAAGGGGGTACAGCGTTTCATCGGCTTTTCTAAAAAACAGCCAACAACATCAAATCAACAAAATTTCACATCAACAAAATTCCTCAAAAAAACATTCAAATCCACATCACCAAACATCACAAACAAAAATAACATCAACAACAACAAAACATCCACATTTTACAGAAAGTTTTAAAAACTTTAGGAACTTCTCCGGTCTGGTCTCCCCGATCACGCAACTGACGAAACAAGGGGTCCGCTTTAAGTGGACTCCCCAAGCTCAGACGGCATTCGAAAAGCTCAAGAAACTGTTCACCTCTGCTCCCATTCTCTGCCATCCGGATTCTTCTCTCCCATATGTTTTGGAGTGTGACGCCTCCGAAAACGCGGTAGGAGCGGTTCTGTCCCAAAGGAATGGTACCAAGGAACTACTGCACCCTGTGGCGTTCTTCTCCAGGAAGTTGACACCGGCGGAACGTAACTATGACATTGGAGATCGGGAGCTCCTGGCCATTAAAGCCGCTTTAGAAGAATGGAGGTATTTACTGGAAGGAGCCA